GTCCTCCACGCGGGAGAAGCCGGCCTCAAGGTCATTGCTTTTCACAGTGAAAAATCCCGCGCCTGCTGGCTCACGGCCATGAGGCTCGCCAAGGTAATCGAAACCAGCTTTTCCTCCCTCGATTTTCTCTTCCCTTCCCTTCTCTCTCACACATCCCTGTCTCCTCCTTTGTCCACCTTTCCCGTGATAGTGACAACAAACTCGCGTGAAACTGGCGTTCCGCGTTTCTGGTTGCAGTACGGCAAGCAACTCAGGGAAAACTACAGAGCCTTCAAGAACAAACAGTGCGAGCAACAAACCGACGGTCCGAAGGATCGATACGTCAACTACAACGTGTCCAACGTGAGTTGAATCCAGTTTTCCAGCTATGCGCGGACTTTCGCCGATCGCACGCGTACCCTCTCGATCGGCGGGTCACGGCTCGCGATCCGCGATTTCATCTTCCCACGTACACACGCGCGCGCGCACGCACGCAACGCGAAAACAAAAAAAAAAGAAAAAAGTACGCGCGGCGAAAACAGAGCGAGTGGGGTAAAGAGGAGGAGAGAGACGAGGCGTACAATTGTGTGTGTGTGTGTGTGTGCGCGCGCGCGCGCGTGAGGTGGGGCTCTGAGCGGGACGAAACAAAGAGGAGAGGAGAGAAAGAGAGTGGGAGGCGGCAGAGTGTGCGAGCCGAGAGCAGCGCAGCGCAGCGCGGCGGCGGCTCGCGTCGAAGCGGCAGAGTTTCGAAAATCGAGCAAAACGCCCGAGGCGGTTAGAGTTGTTGCTACGCGGCGACTATCGATCATCTGCTACTGCTAGTAGGCAGAGGAGAGAACGAGAGAACGGCGAGCACGCGGTTCCTGCGTTTCCTCTCTGCTCGCGAGTCTCTCCGGCCGGTGCGTGCGTGCGCGTGTTGCGCCGAGCCGAGTCGAGTCGATCAATCGTGCTCGTCGTCAGCTGGCTGCGTCTCTCGTGCACCCGGCACGTGACACGCGTCACGCACGATCAACAACGTGTGGTGGTTCGCGATCGATCGAGAGCCGATTTCCGATCCTCTCGACTCTGATTCTCCTCTTTTCTCCCTCCCAAAACTCTCTCTCTCTCTCTCTCTTTCTTCCGTCGAACTTTGCATATCCTTCCGCTGAAGTGAATTCGATCCGAATTCAAACATGGTACGAATGGCTCCGCTTCCAAAAGAAAGAAAGAAAATATTACATGCCAGCGCGCAGAGTCAATTACAAAGTAGAGCACCGACTCGTTCAAAGTAGGAGACTTTTCGCGTTTAATATATGTATCGTGGCAGTGCGCGCGTTTAGACGCAGGTGCGGCATCGTATCACCTGCCGCGAGCAGTATCGTGCAACAAGGCAGCTAGGGCAGCGACGAGGCGACCAATTCCGATTTCCGCTCCCAACGAAATCTGCGCGCACCGCGTGTCACGTCGTCGTCGTCGTCGTCGTCGT